TTCACCTGGGGTCTTCAATGTGAATGGCTTCGTGGCACATAACACCTTCTTCAACAGCGCCAAGAACCCTTATACCAAACCTCGCATTTCATCAGATCGGTTCTGGAGCTATCAGCAGCGCAACTACGATTCCTGCGTCTTATACAATCAAGGCGCATATTTCCACATATGCGCCTCGACTCTGAAGCTATAGCTGGCCTGCCCTGCCTTGAAGAAGCGTTGGATTGCTTCAGAGACGCTGGACTGCTGCAGTTTGTCACAGATAAGGAACACTGGAATGAAGAGCTTCTGCTACAGTTCTATGCAACTCTTCACATTCGAGGCTACAACAGGGATCCAAAGACTTGGGTCCTTGAGTGGATGACATGCCATGTCCATCATGAAGCCAAAGCTCTTGATATCATTGAGCTCACAGGCCTGACCACTCCTGGTGAATACTATGAACCAGGTTGTCAACAACACCAGAATGCCTTGGAAAGCATTTTTCAGAAGCCAGAACCCAACATGAGTCAAATGCTGAGCATGATGAAGCCTTTACCTCACGACGTTGAATACCCATCTGAATTCTTTGTTGAAGACCTAGAGTATCTGCCTCGCACCATTTACCATATCATCAGAAAGACTCTATGGCCTGTCAAAGGACATTCATCTACAGCAAAGCTTGAAGGAGCAATGAAGACTTTGGTTTTCTATATCTTCAATGGCATCAGCTTCAATGCTCAAGACTTCTTCATCAGACAGATGGCTGCATCTGGCTCTGACATTTTTGGTCTAAAGTTTTATGCTCCATGGGTAATGCGCCTTATCAAGCTTCACTCTGCAATCAACTATCAGCCGTCTGCGTGCAATCATCTTGTCTTCTTGCCAGAGGTTGATCTGTCGGTTGAAGCTATTTACCCAGAGCCTGCTAAGGATCCCATTTATCTTCACAATGTTGATCACCAAAGCTTCACCCAGCCTATTGAAGGAGTTCAAGCAGTCTCGCGCGTTTATCCCCTTGATGGCAACACACGTGCCCCTCGCGCTCAAACTGACGCCACTGGTAGCACCATTGCGCAAAGGCCTCGAAGGCGGTCTCGTGTCCTAAATGACCGAGAGCTTCAACCAGTTTGTCATCAATCACCAAAAAGGGGGAGATTGTAAGTGCATCTAGTGCCACCCCTAGTTGGTTTTGGAGTATTGACGACAAACCTGGTTGAGGGACTAATGTGTTTGTGAGAATTGCAGGATAACACAGGTAGAAGTCCCTCATTGATTTGGTTTTCCTACCAAAGATGACCCCTAAAAATGTATGAAGACATTGAAGTCAAAGGTGGTATGTGAAGACATTCACATTGAAGACTATGACAAGAGAAGACATCGCATGAAGACTATGGAGCGCGAAGACTTAGTTGTTTCGTCGTTCTTTTTCTTCTTCGTTGAGTCATAGGAACCACCGTACTGTTAAGTGGGGTCCAAGAGAACCAGTCAGAATGACTGAAGTGATGCTTAGCCAAAATCCTATGTCTTCGAGTGAAGACTATGAGAGCAAATCTTATCCAGAGTTGGATAAGTCAGCTTTGCTTGTAGCCCAAGTAAAGTTGCCGTGTGTTTGAAATCTGATCGTTGGAACACGTGTCAGTTCCTTAGTGACCCATGGTCATTTTGGACAAATCAGGTCGGGTTGCCTAGTGGCTATAAATAGCCCACCCCCTACAACCATAAACGGTCGGCTGCTCAGAGTTAGTGTACGACTTTTGTCGTTTGAGAGCAACCCACCTCGAAGCCTTTGAGAGAGAATTCCTTGCGAGGATAAATCCCTAAACACCCAGAGCCAAAGAGTGTTAGGCATCACTTAAGTCTTCCTGTCTGTGTGATCTGAAGACTTATTACACTTGAGGACTGTGAATCCTCCAGCCGGTTAGGCGTCGCGTTTTGAGCATCCAAGAGTCATTGTGGATCGCCGGTGAATGAAGTTTGTGAAGGTTTGAAAGTCTGCCTTGAAGACTTACCAGAGTGATTGGGCGAGGACTGGGTGTCCTTAGCTCAAGGGGAATAAGGTGAAGACATGGTCTTCTGAGTTGAATCTCAGCCTCCCTAACCAGACGTACAGTTGTCACAGCAACTGGAACTGGTCCAACAAATCATTGTCTTCAATGAGTCACTGGTTCTATCCTTCCCATCTCTTTATTTACAGTTGATCCTTGTGAAGTCACTGTTTGTTTGCATTATATTTTGTCTTTACTGAGTGACTGCTTGTTCTGATTGGCTTCATACTATCTTCCTACCTGATCCATACTGCCTAGCTGCCATTAGTTGTTGTGCTTTCACTTCATTGAATACTTGACTATGGTTTGCTTAGTGTAGTCTACCTTCCGCTGCATGGTAATAGGTTTATTTCTATCGTTTGTCTTCGAAACTCCCATGTTTTGAAGACTTTCTTAAAAATCGCCTATTCACCCCCCCTCTAGTCGATCACTAGCACTTTCACATTTCGAGACTCCTCGTTATGTCCGTGATCACATCCGGGACTCCAAACAATCTTCGGTACATCAAAACATATAAACTCATAATATAACTGTCATCGAAACTTTAAGCGCAAGGACCCTACGGGTTCGAGAACTATGTAGACATGATCGAGACACGTCTCCGATCAATAACCAATAGCGGAACCTGGATGCTCATATTGGCTCCCACATATTCTACGAAGATCTTTATCGGTCAAACCGCATAACAACATACGTTGTTCCCTTTGTCATCGGTATGTTACTTGCCCGAGATTCGATCGTTGGTATCTCAATACCTAGTTCAATCTCATTACCGGCAAGTCTCTTTACTCGTTCCATAATACATCATCCCACAACTAACTCATTAGTTGCAATGCTTGCAAGGCTTAAGTGATGTGCATTACCGAGAGGGCTCAGAGATACCTCTCTGACAATCGGAGTGACAAATCCTAATCTCGAAATACGCCAACCCAACAAGTACCTTTGGAGACACCTATAGAGCACCTTTATAATCACCCAGTTACGTTGTGACGTTTGGTAGCACACAAAGTGTTCCTCCGGTAAATGGGAGTTGCATAATCTCATAGTCATAGGAACATGTATAAGTCATGAAGAAAGCAATAGCAACAAACTAAACGATCAAGTGCTAAGCTAAAGAAATGGGTCAAGTCAATCCCATCATTCTCCTAATGATGTGATCCCGTTAATCAAATGACAACTCATGTCTATGGCTAGGAAACATAACCATCTTTGATCAACGAGCTAGTCAAGTAGAGGCATACTAGTGACACTCTGTTTGTCTATGTATTCACACAAGTATTATGTTCCTGGTTAATACAATTCTAGCATGAATAATAAACATCTATCATGATATAAGGAAATAAATAATAACTTTATTATTGCCTCTAGGGCATATTTCCTTCACCTAGCTGGTTGGTGCTCTTGTGGCGGGTCCCGGTGGCTTCTGCGACGCGAATCTGGCCCGGGCAGCCCCAGATCTGGTGTGTGGTGGGCTGCTTTGATTCAGCTGGCAGTGGGTGACACTGTGGCACAGTTTGGCTGTGTGTGGTCCGGCTCCGGCCAATTCCTTCCCGCGCCATCAGCGGCGCTGGCTTCTGCGGTGGTGGGGTTGAGACGTCTTCCACTGCACTGAGGATGCAGGATGGCGGCGCAGCGCCGCCGCTCTTGGCGGTGTTTTTGGGGTTGTTATGGCAGCGCGAGGGGGGCGTGGTGATTTTGTCGGCCGTGTAGGTGGTGGTTGGCGGTGGCGAGTTGTGAGCATGCTTGGCCGCCGTCAATTGTGATTGTTGTGGTGACGATGAGTTTGGTGAGCTCCATGTGAAAGCCTAGATTGACCCCGGTCGATGCCGGCATCGATGGCGTCCTAGGTAGTCGTTTCCTCGTTGGAGGCGTCGTCGTGCAACCCCTTCACCTCCTTCGGCATCTAGGCCATGGACTCTTCAGGTGAAAACCCAATCTTCGACCTTGGCCGAAGTGGTCGTCAAAGGCGTTCCTCTTCGCTTCCCTTTTGGGGGCGACGCCTTGGAGGTCCGGTCCTTTATCCGTTGGCGGTGGCTTCTGTGGTTTTGTAGCTTCGTCATCTTCTAGGCGAGTGCGCGGCCTCGGGGCCTGTGTAGAAGTCGGAGCGGCGACTCCGGAAGTCTATCGTGTGTGGTGTTTGGCTTTGGTCGCTAGGGCAACATGACAGTCGGCTAGGTGGGTCTACGGCCTTGGGGCCGGTGTGGAAGTCGGCGCGGCGACGCCGAAGATCTCATGTGTGTAGGGTGTTGGCTTTGGCCTCTAGGGTGGCAAAGCCGTCAACTAGACTGGTGCACGACCTTGGGGCCGGTGTGGATGTCGGGGCGGCGGCTCCAGATCCAAGTGTTGTGTTGTAGGGTGTCGCAGAGTCTCCGGTCACTTGGGTGGCACTATCGGGGATTCAATTGGTGCATATCCTCATCTAGCGTGTGCGTATATCGTAGATGTATCGGTTTTCATCCAACTTTTCTTATAAATTGATCAATTCTTTTTTTTTCTTAATGATGAAAAGGCAAAGCTCCTGCCTGTTGCTCGAAAGAAAAAAAACAGTTCACTTTTTTTACATCGATTATGTCTACTTTGTGAACTGTAAACTTAGTAGTAAGTAAGATTGATCGTAATTTAGGTAGTAATTTATTAGATTCCTAAAAAAGCAGTAGTAATTTATTACAATCAACTTTTTACCGAGCTGCAAATATTTGGTCCAAATTTCCAACGAGCGCACCCGCGAATGCGAGCCATAACGTCTGAATTTTAGCCCTTGGATAGTCAAATAGAGGGGCCTCCGTGCAAAAACGGAAAAAACGCACCCCAGGTTTTCCTCGTCTCGCGTTCGGGGGATCGATACAAATTCGAAAGGGGAAGAAGCCTCGAGGCGCACGCGACGATTTTTCCAGACCCAAATCTCCCCCCATTCTCCCACCCATCCACCAACTCCGTTCCTTCCTCGCCGGCACGAAGCCAGGGCCGCCGGAGATGTCGCCGGCGGCGGACAGCGCGTCGGGATCGAAGCGGCAGGCGGAGCTGCTCAAGCAGGAGGGCAACACCTGCTTCAAGAAGGACCGCATCAGCGCCGCCATCGACGCCTACACCGGGGTAAGCAGGGGTTGCTCGCGCTCGCCGCCGCGCGGCTAGCTTATCTTCGCGCGCCCATTTTTTGCTGGATTGGAGTCGCTAGGCTCCATTTGCTTCAGACGAATCCGTGTGATGCGGAATGGTTTAGCGGTCTGAAACGACGGAGCCCATTCTACCGAGGATCGTGGCTAGTTGTGGGCCGTCGCTTTGATCAATCATCGGGAATTCCTGCCGAATTCTACCAACTGTAGCTTTGCTGAATTATCTGACATGGAATGCTATGCCATTACCTATATATGTGTGCTTTTACCTGTGAGCAGTTAGGTGGTTTGATCAGTGATTACACATATTCTTCCCTCTTTGTTAGCTGAGAGGAGCTACTTAACAGAACACCATTATGTCATTGTGCAGGTAAGAAATGCAGGATGAGTCACATTTAAGCATCTTGGGTATTCATTTTCAATGCCAATGCTTATCTTGGGTATTCATTTTCAATGCTGATGCTTTTTATAAGGCCTGCCCGGACCCCCGGAGAAGAGAGAACAGAGAAAATGTGGTTTCTGCATCATGGTGTACTTTTACACCTGGGCATAGAAATTAGAAACTACTCACGTATCTCTAGAAGTGTTGCATATGTGAACTCTACAAATTATAACTTTCGCTATGGTCACAAGAAAGATGGAATGTTGTGGCAAGTCATACATGTTTGCAATCCAGCTAAGACTACAATTTAGTTCTAGTTGCTTCGGAACTCTTCTTGTTTTGCCTCTTCAGATCATGAGCTCTTTAAGATGTTCCAACTTACCCTCTATGAGTTAATAGAAGTGAATACCCCCAAACCGTTTATTTGCTAAAAATAGGTGGAATTATATGACCATGTGCACTATAGAATAGCCGGTGCCTTTCATCTTGTAAGATGCAAGGCCATTTACTTTTCCTCGTATCTGACTATAAGGAAGGTAATTAATTATTTTCTTTTGGATAATACAATGAAATGAATCACGAATGTGCTTAACTTCGAAACATGTGGCACAAATGGAAATAGACATAATGTAGTCTCCATGTTATACTTTCAAACAGGTGCATGCTGCAACCGTATTTTATTTCACGAAAATAAAACTACAAATTCATCTAATATAAACATTAGTACATTGTCAAAATCAACATAGAAATGGTTCCAGGCTTACGTACACCTTGTTATAGCAGTAGTACATTTTTTTGCAGGAAAGCAGTAGTACATTGTTAAGACTTGTTTTCGATTGATCGTACACATGTATGCATGTAGTACACTGCTCAGATACGTATGTGTTGTCACGTACATGTTACATGTTTTCTCATGTTAACCTATACAGATGCATACATATGCAATAGACCTTCCAATTCCGTTGATGCGCAATATACCAAATACAAAAGACACTGATGCCTATTTGGTAGTTACGGGTGACCTATTACCCCCTAGGAGGTAAAATAGGCAGGGACGGTTCGGATTTCAGGGTTCCCGGGACCAAACTAAAGCCCGAGGCCCTTAGTAATTGAAAACTAGTGCAAAGCTATAGTTATAGGCTTATAGCCATTTCTCTCTGTTACTATGTTAACTTCGTGATATTAACTTCTATGTTTGCCCAAACATGCCTAAAAAGACAAATTACATTCAAGGTACAAGCTGAACCTGGAGAAGGAATAATAGTACTCCTGCAGCAAGCGAGGTTGTCGGTTGATATATCTCCTGCATTATTAGTTGTGACAACGTAAGAAATTGTGGTTAGGCTTTTAGGCAAAGCCTGTGCGGGTGTTGTTTTCGCACACCTGGGTCCTAGGTGCCTGTGCTCCCTTTATTTTAGAACAACTAAGGAATGAATTAGAAGAAAAAAATTGATGCAAGTAGATAAAGAACGAACTATGTATCTTCAAGTTCATGTGAAATAAATAGTGATTGAAGTATGATGAAAGAGAAAATGAGGAGCTAAAACTGCAGCCTCGGGTGCTATAAGTTTGATTTCAGTGCACATGCGACAGAAAGTGCTATGGAACATAAAATTCTACACATATTATTGACCCCACTACTCTTTGTTGTGTGTGAAAAAGTTAGAAGAATGCAAATCATTTTTTAGAACCAGGAGTATTTCTTATGCTTTTCACCAAAGCCAGTGCATGTTATCGTTTTGGAAAGAGAAGAGCAAGAATGAGGTGGCCTTTGTTTTGTACGAGAAAACTATTGTTGCAAATGCACTCTCATTTGCTCTGGAGGAAATAGTTTTTTTTAGCTAGCTAGAGTAAAATGGCACTCCACCAGTCAAGCGAACAAAGGATGCACATGGGCCGCCACTGCCTTGTACTAGAGTTTATTGGATGTTTGTCATTTATCGATTTGGTTGGACACTTCAGCGCTGGGTTCTAAAAATCATTGCCGACTTAGCTGGGCCGGCCTCCTAGAGGTTTAGGGGCCCAGGGTCGTTGCCCTGGCTGCCCTGCCCCAGGGCCGAGCCTGGTAATAGGTTACCATGTTTAGTCTTGCTCCCTGGATCAATAAAAATGAATGGCCCAGAAAGTTTGGGAGCGTCTTAAAATTTCTCTTCATGGCGTCAGTTGTAGAAATATTTATTCTGTCAACTTGGTGTGCCTTTTTATTTAGAAATTCCTGCATTATTTACACCTTCCTTGCTAACTGCGGCATATTATTGGTTAACAGGCTATAGCTCTCTGCCAAAATGTTGCAGTATACTGGACCAACCGAGCACTGTGCTATAAGAAGCGGAAGTATGTACAACTCCTATTTTCATTTGTTTGTCGCGTCTTATTCGTCTTCGATGCACTCCAAGGTTTACATTGTACTGTGTTGCTATTAAATTTGGCAGTGAGTGGGCTAAGGTTGAGGAAGATTGTAGAATGGCTATCCATTATGACAGCCACTCCGTTAAGGTGCGTTTGTGTCTTGAGCTTTATTTAGTAGTTAACCTCTTTAAATGCTTTGTTTATGTATTCCAAGGTCACGATTCCTGTAGTGCAAATAAATAGCATTTTCCGTTTTGACCAAAGATGTAATGGATTTGATCTTTTACCCTGTTTTGAGAAACTCCTTGTAGCATGTATCCACACTCTAGTTAAGTTAGGCTTTATTCGGTATTACTGGATCTTTTAGTGTGCACATTATCCTGCAATTGGAAACTGCATCTAGAAGGTCTCTAGTGTCGTCTCCTTAGTTTGCTCTTTGTTTTGCCGGCCTGTGTGCCGTGAAGCTTCATGCTGGTTGTGGCCGTTTGAACTTGTTACTTATGCCTTGTCGTGTGCTCGATGGTTCTGATAACTCTGTCGGATGCTTGGTGGCTTTATTAATATTAAGTCGGGCTGTCACCTTTTATCTAAGAAACTGGACCTAGACATATGAACAATTTGAGGTTGCACGGTGTTGACCTCTCAGCTGGGAGGTTACTTGAGATATGTAGCTATGTAGCTGCGCTCATTGTTAACTCAATATCAAGCTTGTGTTTTGTTTGGTTCATTTGACTAAGATTGAAATTTAGGGGCTGTTTGGTTTGTGCCATTGCCAGCCCCGCCAAACCTGGGCTAGCCAAAAGATTGGCGAGCGAATCTGCCGCTGATAACTCGCCAACGAATTGGCGTAGGATTGAACTAGAGAAACTGAGGTGGTCTGGGCGCGCCAATTTTTGGGTAGCCATCCAAACGGGCAACGAAATCTGGTCAACGACCAATGTTTTGGACGGGCAGCCCAGGGCTCCAATCCAAACAGCCCCTTAGACCTGATTTGCCAAATCATTTAAGAAGTCCTGTATCATTTTATTTTGGGCTCTAGTGCTTGTTCTTACTATAGCAAAATGTCCTTGAATGTATTGTGACATTCATCATCACTAGAAGACAATGTATGAATTGCCTCGTGAATCTGTAAGCAAACCTATAATGTTCTTGCTTTAGGTAATGTGTATGCTTCAAATACCCTTGGTAAAAAGTTAATCATAAAAGTACATGTAGCATTTCAAGATTATTCAGCTTCCTTTTTAAAGAGAGAAAGTAAGAGATGATTGCTTCAGGTCTGGACATTTTGAAATCGGCTTGAACACTACTGTTCGAACTTGATGTTACACTACACGCGACATAGTTTTCGTTTTGTTGAAAAAGCATCATCGTAATATTTTCCTTGCAATGTTAGTATGTTTATTCTTCTGTCTGTAGTGACAATATTTTTTTTACTCTGTTGGTAGGCGCATTACATGCTTGGGCTTGCACTTCTCAACAGGCAAGAATTGGCTGGAGGAATAAAAGCACTAGAAAAGGTTCCTCTCTTGTTAAGCTCTTTGTTGCTCCAACTATCAGTATTAATCTGACTATTTGTAGAAAATATTGACCTACCATTAACGTGAGTAACCCACTTATGGGTGATGGTTTAATTGCGCCTTACTGGCATTCTTTCCTGATGTCTGTATTGGACTCCTGAATTGGATTTGGTATTATTTAGGTACTAATTTGGCCTTTTCAGAGACACAATATTGATTGGGAGCACATCTTACTAACATCCACCTGCCCTATCTTTCGTCCTCTCATTTTGGTAATTTGTAAATGTGATCTTAATCTGGGTAAAAGAAAATTGTTGTGCGGAGTTGATCATGGGTATTACTAACTACCAACACAAACAGGAAAGTGCGATGCTAAATGCCATCATTGATGTAGTTTGCTCTTTTGATGATGTTATTTTAGTTGCAAAACAATTATGTTTATGCCATTTTTACTGATGAACCAAACTATGCAAAATTAGTCTTTGGAGCTTGGAAGGGGTGCACATCCTGCAAGCTATATGGTTGAAGAGGTATGGCAAGAGCTTTCTAAAGCAAAATACATTGAATGGGAAGGACTATCAAAAATGCGATCCTCTCAAATGCATAAACTGAAGTGCGTAACTAATATTTTTTTCCCTGCATTGCGTATCAGTGGGATGTATTGCAGTTCCTGTCTAACATATCATTTGTCCTTTTGCAGTGCAACATGTAAAGAAGCTCTAAAGAGTTATAACCGCCTTGATAATCCAACTGCAGACGTGTCTGAAGAGCATCTAAATGAGCTAGATGAAGTTTTCAGGAAAGCTGCAAAGGCTGATACTCCAACAGAAGTATGAAACTGCCTTTCAAAGTGCTTACTTTTATACTGGCTTGCCTGGTCTAATAATCAAACAACATGCATTTTGTGCAGGTTCCTGACCATCTCTGCTGCAAAATTACACTTGATATCTTCAGGGATCCAGTGATCACTCCAAGCGGAATTACTTACGAGAGGGCTGTGATTCTTGACCATTTAAATAGGGTAAGCAGAAGCGTGAAATAAACATAAATCTCTTGAGACATACTTGGATACTCGTGTTTTGCGTACCAAACTCATGAGACTTTCAAATTCGTAGGTGGGGAAATTTGACCCTGTGACCCGTGAACCACTGGAACCATTCCAACTAATATCAAACCTTGCCGTCAAGGAGGCTGTAGATGTATTTTTGAAGGAACATGGTTGGGCTTACAAGATCAGGTGATTGATTTGTACAATTGAATTGGTAGGGTACACCTTGATTGGAAGTAAGATTGGCAATACATAGTTATGTTGTTCTGTTGACATCAAGGAAGTTGTACATACTTTCGAGTGTTGTTAAATTGGACTGGATCATACATAGAACTTGTCATGGGCAATACATAGTTGGGTTTAGCAAGTACAATTGCTGATATCTTCACATCCTTTGGCTATTTGTGTTCCTAAACGTTTTCAGAGCAGAGGGCAGGCCTGGCACAGTGGTGAAGTCCTCCCCACTTGTGTCAAGATGTCTTGGGTTTGAACCAGTCTCTCTGCATTGCAACTTTGCAGGGGTAAGACTAGGTTCCTATAATCCCTCAATAGACACTTCCGTTTCTAAATATAAGTCTTTTTAGAGATTTCAATGCAGACTATATACGGAGCAAAATGAGTGAATCTATACTCTAAAATATGTCTATATACATCCGTATGTAGTTCTTATTGAAATCTCTAAAAAGAGTTACACTTAGGAACGGAGGGAGTATAATGTACTCTCTCCATCTCCCAAAAGAAGGCCTATAAATTTTGTCTTGAAGTCAAATGTTCGATTGAGTTTGCGATCAACAATCCGTTGCACTGTTTGGCTTGAGACAAGTTTTATAGGCTTCCTTTTTGAAGGAGGGTGTACATCATTGCTGGTAGTGGATTGTTTGGATTCGGGATTTTGCTTTAGGAATGTCGAACAACATCCAAGTCCAGTGTGCTTAGCTCAACTACGTAGATAGTTGAGTTCAGAAATAACAATGGTAGGAGTAGTAAACTTGAATTCGATGAGAATTGAGTAGGGCAAAATAGTACGAAGTACTAAAAGAAAACGCATGATGAAATTGTTCTGTTTCCCGATAGATAAAAATTACAATGTTCTCAGACCGCCCAGCAGTACTTCGGTTGCAAACAACAGTTTTGTTTAGTTCATGTTCTTGCCTAAGTCATGTCATCGGCTTCTGGAGCAGCGCCGAGAGGTACCACTCGTTCTTCTCCACTCCGCCGTCCGGCTTCCGGCCGGCGTTCCACCGCAGCCTCTTGAACCCCACGCGGTGAAGCATTGGAGCATACGTAGCGTTCAGCTGCGCGCCGGGGAAGACGAAGTGGTCGAGCCAGAACAGCCCGCCGGGCCTGAGAACCCTGTAGACGTCAAACAGCGCGAACTCCATCGCCACGCCGTCGCCGGGCACCATCCAGTCGCTCGTCAGCTCGCGCCCCGCGTGCACGACGTCGAGCGTGCCATCGAAGAAGGGCAGGCGGCGCGCCTGGCCTACGTGCAGTGGTACGAGCCCCCGCGAGGCGACGAAGCTGCCGAACGGCGCCCCGGCGTTGGTGGTCGCGGTCACCACGGTCACCCCGCGCTCGCGCATCCGGGCCGCGAACGTGCCGCCCCCGCCGCCGATGTCGAGCCCGATGCGCACCGTGCCCTTGGGCTTGGCCGCGAGCGCCGTGTCGACGGAGTAGGCGAGCGCGCCGTCGTCGCGCGTCCACAGGCCCTTCTCCCGGCGACCGCGGAGGTCGAGGCCCAAGCCACGGCTCGCCATGCACGAGTAGTTCCTGCACGGGTGGTACGCGTCCCAGACGACGCTGGTGTCCGGCGGCATTGACCACAGGCTCTTCGGCAGCGGCGCCGGCTCAGCGTACCCGGGCGGTGACTGCGGCCGGCAACGCCGCCTGGGCAGGGGCTCGCAGCCCCCGCGCATGAGCAGGTGCTCGAGCGCCGCGTCGGACGGGCACTCGCCGCCGGGCTTGTAGTCCATGTACCGCTCGAGCTCGTCCTGGAAGCGGCCGCACGCGTGGCCCAGAGCCGCCTCGCCGTCGGAGGCGTTCCCGACAGCCAGCTTGAGCTCGCCGACGAGCTCGCGCGCCCACCACCCATTGCCGGACGCGGGCGCCTCCTCCTTCCGCTGACCGTCGCCGCCGCGCGCTGCTTCGGCGAGGAGGGTCTGGAGGAGCGCGGTGGCGGTGCCGAGGCGCGCGTGGAGGCCGGCGAGCTCGACGCGGCTGGACTCGAGCGCAGACCGCGTGGCATTGAGGTCCGCGAGGAGGGCGGCGGAGTCGTCCCAGAGGCGGACGGTGGCGGGCTCGTAGCGGCGGACGACCGAGGCGCCGGCGCCGGAGGAGAGGAGGATGGAGGCGGTGTTGGTGACCAGGAAGAGCAGCAGCGTCACAGTGGTCGTGCTGCACCTGCACCAGCGCCTCCCGTTGGGGGGGCTGAGTTGCTTCTTCCCCAGCAGTTCGCCCTCCATTTTGATTCTCCCCCTCGCAAACTGTATCTAGCTACTGTTGGCGATGCAAGTTTTGGTTTAATTCTTCGCGCGCGCGAGTTGCGACATGCATGTAGTATTAGCTAATCGGAAGTGCCAAGTGCTAACGACCTAGGTAGAGAGTTATTAGTCTAGTAATGATAGTTTAGAGTGGAGGATCCATCGATCGAGCTTGATTCAATCGCGTTGCGTAGGACGTGGAAAGGAGGGAGTAAGACGCTTGCAGATCCATACTACTACTACAACGTTAATGCACGTTCATGTTGCTTAGTCCGTGGTGAATCTGGAGGTCGTTTGGTGTCCATTAGCGAAATGCGAGGAGCGAATCCAGGTCCATGGTTGCCTTCGCTACAAGCCAGTTTTTTTTTTTTTTTTGAAAAGGGGGGAAAACCCCGGCCTCTGCATCAGTACGATGCATACGGCCCTCTTATTAACAAAATAAAGTAGTGCCAACATGGTTCCAAAGATCTTCAAAAGCCATAAAAAGCAGAAAAAGCTCACACAGAGCCAAAAGAGGCTAGAAACACCAACTAGCCAAATCAAGATGCCACAACCGGCTGGGTAAACTAGATAGGAATACTAAATGCCTATCCTATTACATGACCGCCATCCAAACCGGTTGAAGATATCCCGAGCTACCATCTCCCAGCGGACAGACCCAGTAACCAAATGCTCCCTGGCCTCCGTCTGGGTGAGTAGCGACCACGAACGGATCAGTGCCGTAGTCCGGAATAAAACCTGCAAAAAATGTATACATGATATTCTGTTAAAGACCAAATCGTTTCTGCAATTCCAGATAGTCCACAGCAAAGCACAAACCCCAACCCGAATATGTCTCGCTAAGTTAGGCTCAATCCCATTAAGCCATGTCCCAAATAACGCATTAACAGAATTCGGGGGTTTGATATTGAAAGCAATGTGGACCGTCTGCCAAAGTACCTTAGCCAGCGGGCAATCAAAAAATAGGTGTTTAATAGTCTCATCCCGATCGCAGAAACTACACCTAGTAGGTCCTGTCCAATTACGCTTCATCAAGTTATCCTTAGTTAAAATTACTTGTTTATGGACAAACCACATAAACACTTTTATTTTCAAAGGAACTTTGACATCCCAAACATGTTTGGACGTAGGAATGGAGTTCGAATTAATAACATCAATATACATTGATTTAACCGTGAATGCTCCAGACTTAGTCAACTTCCAGCGTAATTCATCGGGTTGTTGAGAAAGCTGGACGTCCATCAGTCTCCTAACTAGACGGAGCCATTCTTCCCAACGATTGCCCGCTAGCACTCGTCTGAACTGAATATTAAGGGGGGTAGATTGTAAGACCGAAGCAACGAACACCTCACATCGTTGAACAATGCGGTACAAAGAGGGATATTGGATGGCCAAGGGTGTGTCACCGAGCCAAGTATCTTCCCAGAAACGTGTACTCGTGCCGTTTCCAACAACAAACTTTGTCCTATTAAACAATGCCTGCTTGACCTTCATGAGACCCTTCCAGAAGGGCGAGTCGGTCGGCCTTACAGAGACCTGTGCCAAAGTTTTTGACTGGAGGTACTTGCCGCGAAGGATCTGTGCCCACATAGCATCATTCTCCGACGAAAGCTTCCACAGCCACTTGCTAAGAAGGCATTTATTCTTAATTTCGAGATTCTCAATACCTAGACCCCCTTGGTCTTTCGGTCTACAGATGATATCCCACTTAGCAAGCCTATATTTTCTTTTAAGCTCATCACCCTGCCAAAAGAACCGCGATCTATAGAAGTCCAGTCTCTTCCTAACACCAACTGGTACCTCAAAGAAAGAAAGAAGAAACATCGGCATACTCGTGAGCACCGAATTAATTAGGATTAATCGGCCTCCATATGACATGAGCTTGCCCTTCCAGCAACTCATTTTCTTCTCAAATCGGTCCTCGATGCACTTCCATTCTCTGTTTGTTAGCCTACGATGGTGGATAGGAATCCCCAAGTATGAGAATGGTAGCTCTCCCAACTCACATCCAAACAATTGCCTATAAGCATCCTGTTCATCTTTGGCCCTACCAAAACAGAACAGCTCGCTCTTATGAAAGTTTATTTTTAACCCGGTCAATTGTTCAAATAGGCATAACACCAGCTTCATATTTCTTGCCTTAGCCAAGTCATGCTCCATAAAGATGATTGTATCATCAGCGTACTGTAGGATAGAGACACCTCCATCAATAAGATGAGGCACCAATCCACCTACTTGACCATTTTCCTTAGCCCTTCCTATCAAAACTGCCAACATATCCACCACAATGTTAAACAAGATAGGGGACATCGGGTCTCCTTGTCTTAGGCCTTTATGTGTCTGGAAGTAGTGACCTATGTCATCATTAACTCTAATTCCCACACTACCTTTTTGCGTAAATGATTGAACCTGTCTGCGCCAGGCTTCATCAAAACCTTTCATACGCAAAGACTGTTGGAGAAATGGCCACTTGACCTTATCATACGCTTTCTCGAAATCCACTTTAAAAATCACTCCATCTAATTTTTTGGAGTGGATTTCATGGAGCGTTTCATGCAGGACTACCACCCCTTCAAGGATATTTCTGTCTGGCATGAACGCGGTTTGGGACTGTTGCACCACAGAATGTGCAATCTGTGTGAGCCTGTTAGTCCCGACCTTGGTGAAAATTTTGAAACTAACATTAAGGAGACAGATCGGCCTGAATTGCTCAATTCTGACCACATCCGTCTTCTTAGGAAGTAGTGTGATAGTCCCAAAATTCAAGTGGAATAATTGAAGCTGTCCAGAGAATAGATCATGAAACATAGGTAGTAAATCCCCCTTAATAATGTGCCAGCACTTCTTATAGAACTCAACCGGGAAACCATCCGGTCCGGGAGCCTTATTATTTTTCATCTGTGCAATAGCATCAAAAACCTCCTTCTCCGAGAACGGGGCAACCAGAAGCTCATTATCAGCAGCCGATAGCTGAGGTACATCCTCAGTTCTGGACTCATCGAGGGACACCATATTATCCTCCGGTGGTCCAAATAACTGCTTATAATAGTCGGTAATGTAAGTTTTTAGGTTATCCTGACCTAAAATAGTACCCTCGTCCTGCTCAAGCTGAAAGATTCGCTTCTTTCTGTGTTTGCCATTAGCTATTAGATGGAAGAACTGAGTATTCGCGTCCCCCTGGACCACTTTGCTTACTTTAGCACGTAAAGCCCACTTCAGTTCTTCTTCGCGGAGTAGTTCTTTTAACCTCTTCTCCGCCTCATTTTTAACCTGAAGCTCTGCTGGTGACAAAATATTGGATTCGGCCTTTATGTCCAGGTCGTGTATAAGAGAAAGGAGTCTATCCTTTTCAATCTTATACACACCGCTAAGGTGCTTAGCCCAACCCCGTAAGAAGCTTCTCAAGTTCCTAATCTTATTCTGCCACCGCTCAATAGGAGTTTTGCCTCGAACATCTTTAACCCATTCCCTGGCTATCAAATCTAAGAAACCCTCACGTTCAAACCATGACGCTACAAGCCAGTTAGCCAGATTAAAGAAATGATAGCAGTCGGTCCGTCCTTGCTTAGAGATTCATGCCATGTTTTCTAGTTTATGTTTGCTTTTGTTTCATAGTATCACACATTCACACCCCGTGGCCGCGGTGATCGCCAGACGCCCAGACGTGAGGAAGAGGATGCTGACGCCGTTTGTGGAGAGCGGCCATCGGAAAGACAGGGGATTCGGACGAGAGGAAGAGACGCAGGACACAAAAAGTTCGTGAGACGAAGAAAAAATAAAAAATAAAAAATAAAAAATGAAATAAGGAAAAAGAAAAAACCAGATGGAAACAAGAAAACTAGCCGGAAGTTTCTAGAAGCCTCCCAAAACTGGCTAAGAACGTTTTTTTTAGACATCCTCGCCAGGCTTTATTTAAATTGTCACAATATTGCAGGGATAAAATTCAAATCTCCGGGGAGGCCTAACCAGACACGGCGGCCTAACCCGAGCGAAAGTGCATGCCTAGCAAGATTGTGAGCCTCGAAATTTGAGCTCCTAAATTCATGGACAAAATTACAAGCAATAAAAGCATTCGATCTCTCTATGATTTCATGTACGATTGCCACATGATTCGACGATGTACCTTTCTTGATTTCATCCACCACGATCTTGCAATCAGACGCCACTTGTATCTTATGCACATATAAATCCTCTGCGAGCGCCAGCGCCTCTCTTACCGCCAATGCTTCCAATGCAACAGGATCAAATATGTGTTGGAAAGTAAGAGAAGAGGCACCCAGGAAAGTGCCAGCCACATCCCTACATATTACTCCAACTGCACCAAATTTTCCACTTGAAACAGCGGCATCAACATTAAACTTCAAGTGATCCAGTGGCGGAGGTTGCCAAAGAGCTGACCTGGGCATCCGGCTTGCATTAGTCCGCTGTACTGGCGTTGATAGTATCTGTATATCCCTCAAAAAAGCATTGATGAAAAGATGGATCTGCATAGGGCTGTCACATATATCCTCATGAATGGCTTTACGCCTTGATCTCCAAATTGCCCAAAGAGTAACAATCATGCGAGTAAATTCTTCATGCTTTAGTTTCTCATACATTGTGAAGATCCAGTTTTTAGCATTTAAACTCATGTTGTCACACATATGCTCCACTATCTCTTCCGACGAAAGAGACCAAACGCACCTTGCAGTAATACAGTTAATTAAAGCATGTTTCCAGCTGTCCTCCGCTGGGCAGAACAGACAGGCCGGGGTTGAGGCCATGTCGATGATGCAAAATGTCTGAAGTTGGTACCGAGTCCTTGCACAATCTCCATACAAATTTTTTCAGTTTCGAGGGAACCTTGATGTTCCACAAAGACACCCACGCCTTCTTCTCCTGTTCGTATGCTGAAGAGCCTCCATTACCAGCCAATAAAATTTCCCTTTGGGTTTTGATATTGAAGAGCATCTTGTAAACCGAGTTGACTGAAAACTTGCCTCGACGGTCTTCTCCCCAAGCCCAAAAATCATCTGTTCTCTTCGTACACGGTGGGATAGATAATATGACATTCACGTCAATTGGAAGAAAAACCCTTCTTAACTCCTCCTCCTTCTAAGTACTTGTAGCTGCATTTATAAGTTCAGAAACTAGTTTTGGTGGGTTTGCCACAAGGGAACAGATCGGCCTCATCATGCCCGTTCTGGGCAACCAATTTTCTGTCCATATATTGGTATTTTCGCCCGTTCCAATCCGCTTAATGATGCCCTGTGCAATAGCATTTCGTCCATCAATAATAGCCCTCCAAATCTGCGACGGATGGGTTCCCAGTTCAGAATTTAAGAAAGAGTTCGATGGGAAGTATACAACCTTTAGTATCCTTGCACTCAATGTCGCAGGCCCCTCAACCAAGCGCCATGCTTGTCTTGCAAGGAGGGATAGGTTGAGTAATTCTATGTCTCGAAAGCCTAATCCTCCCAAAGATTTTGGTTTAGTGCATACATCCCACGAAACCAAGCATGGCTTCCTTTTACCCCTCTTGCTTCCCCACCAGAATTGGCGGATCATTGACGTCACATTCTCACAAATGCCACGCGGCAGCCTGAAGCATGCTATAGAATAAACCGGAATAGCTTGGGCGACTACTTTTATCAATACTTCCTTACCCGCATAAGATAATAACTTCTCCATCCATCCTTTTATCTTTTCCCACACTCTGTCCCTCAAATATTTGAAGGTTCCGTTCCTCGAGTGCCCTACATCAGTGGGCATGCCAAGATACCTCTCACTCAATTGTTCATTGTGCACATCAAGCGAGTTTTTTATGCCATCGCGAACAGATTGAGGGCACCCCTTACTGAAAAAATTGATGATTTTGCATTGTTCACTCGCTGGCTAGAAGCATTGCAATAGGTAGTCAACAGGTTTGACACTGTAGTCGCCCCCTCATTACTCGCTTTGAATAGCAGCAGGCTATCATCAGCAAAGAGAAGATGGTTAACAACCGGAGCTGTCGGAGCCACCTGTACTCCCACGAAATGCGATGACTGAGTTTCAGATTTCAAAAGGCACGAAAGGCCCTCCGCTGCAATAAAAAAGAGGTAAGGGGAGATTGGATCTCCCTGTCGAATACCCCTGGTAGGTTTGAACTGATCTAGTTTCTCTCCATTAAAAAGTACTGAAAACGATACTGACTTGATCATGCCCATGACAATTCCAATCCAAGATCTTGCAAAGCCAAGTTTAATCATAATTGCCTCCAGATACGACCACTCTAGCCAGTCGTAAGCTTTCATCATGTCCAGCTTCAAAGCACAATGATTGTTGGATTGGGATTTGCTCCTCTTCATAAAATGCAGGCATTCATAGGCACATATAATATTGTCCGTGATCAATCTTCCAGGAACGAAACCAGATTGTTCCTCAGAAATAATGTCAGGCAAAATTTGTTGAGGAACATAGTAATTTCAAAAAAATTCCTACGCACACGCAAGATCATGGTGATGCATAGCAATGAGAGGGGAGAGTGTTGTCCACGTACCCTCGTAGACCGAAAGCGGAAGCGTTATGACAACGCAGTTGATGTAGTCGTACGTCTTCACGGCCCGACCGATCAAGCACCGAAACTACGGCACCTCCGAGTTCTAGCACACGTTCAGCTCGATGACAATCCTCGGACTCCGATCCAGCAAAGTGTCGGGGAAGAGTTCCGTCAGCATGACGGCGTGGTGACGATCTTGATGTTCTACCGTCGCAGGGCTTCGCCTAAGCACCGCTACAATATTATCGAGGATTATGGTGGAGGGGGGCACCACACACGGCTAAGAGAACGATCACGAAGATCAACTTGTGTGTCTAGAGGTGCCCCCCTGCCCCCGTATATAAAGGAGCAAGGGGGAGGCTGGCCGGCCCTTGGGGCGCGCCAAGGAGGGGTGAGTCCTCCTCCTAGTAGGAGTAGGACTCCCCTTTCCTAGTCCAACTAGGAAGAGAGAAGGGGGAAGGAAAGAGAGGGAGAGGGAGAGGGAAAGAGGGGCCGCGCCCCCTCCCCTAGTCCAATTCGGACTCCTCATGGGAGGGGGCGCGCCACCTCCTGGGCTGCTGCCCTCTCTCTCCCCTCAGGCCCACTAAGGCCCAATACTTCCCGGGGGGTTCCGGTAACCCTTCTGGCACTCCGGTTTTCTCCGAAATCACCCGAAACACTTTCGGTGTCCGATTATAGCCGTCCAATATATCGATCTTTATGTCTCGACCATTTCGAGACTCCTCGTCATGTCCGTGATCACATCCGGGACTCCGGACAACCTTCGGTACATCAAAATATATAAACTCATAATGAAACTATCATCGTAACGTTAAGCGTGCGGACCCTACAGGTTCGAGAACAATGTAGACATGACCGAGACACGTCTCCGGTCAATAACCAATAGCGGAACCTGGATGCTCATATTGGCTCCTACATATTCTATGAAGATCTTTATCGGTCAGACCGCATAACAACATACGTTGTTCCCTTTGTCATCGGTATGTTACTTGCCCGAGATTCGATCGTCGGTATCTCAATACCTAGTTCAATCTCGTTACCGGCAAGTCTCTTTACTCGTTCCGTAATACATCATCTCACAACTAACTCATTAGTTGCATTGCTTGCAAGGCTTAAGTGATGTGCATTACCGATAGGGCCCAGAGATACCTCTCCGACAATCGGAGTGACAAATCCTAATCTCGAAATACGCTAACCCAACATGTACCTTTGGAGACACCTGTAGAGCACCTTTATAATCACCCAGTTACGTTGTGACGTTTGGTAGCACACAAAGTGTTCCTCCGGCAAACGGGAGTTGCATAATCTCATAGTCACAGGAACATGTATAAGTCATGAAGAAAGCAATAGCAACATACTAAACGATCGGGTGCTAAGCTAATGGAATGGGTCATGTCAATCACATCATTCTCCTAATGATGTGATCCCGTTAATCAAATGACAACACATGTCTATGGTTAGGAAACATAACCATCTTCGATTAACGAGCTAGTCAAGTAGAGGCATACTAGTGATGTTTAGTTTGTCTGTGTATTCACACAAGTATTATGTTTCCGGTCAATACAATTCTAGCATGAATAATAAACATTTATCATGATATAAGGAAATAAATAATAACTTTATTATTGCCTCTAGGGCATATTTCCTTCAGTCTCCCACTTGCACTAGAGTCAATAATCTAGATCACACAGTAATGATTCTAACACCCATGGAGCCTTGGTGCTGATCATGTTTTGCTTGTGGAAGAGGCTTAGTCAACGGGTCTACTATATTCAAATCCGTATGTATCTTGCAAATCTCAATGTCTCCCACCTGGACTAGATCCCAGATGGAATTGAAGCGTCTCTTGATGTGCTTGGTTCTCTTGTGAAATCAGGATTCCTTTGCCAAGGCAATTGCACCAGTATTGTCACAAAAGATTTTCATTGGACCCGATGCACTAGGTATGACACCTAGATCGGATATGAACTCCTTCATCCAGACTCCTTCGTTTGCTGCTTCCGAAGCAGCTATGTACTCTGCTTCACATGTAGATCCCGCCACGACGCTTTGTTTAGAACTGCACCAACTGACAACTCCACCGTTTAATGTAAATACGTATCCGGTTTGCGATTTAGAATCGTCCAGATCAGTGTCAAAGCTTGCATCAACGTAACCATTTACGATGAGCTCTTTGTCACCTCGATATACGAGAAACATATCCTTAGTCCTTTTCAGGTATTTCAGGATGTTCTTGACCGCTG